AGCTTACTCCTGACTTTGTCCGAGTCTTGCGGGTGTACACATCAGACCGCCAAAGTCCCCCTAGAAGGCAGCTGTAACCCCTGCTAGCTGGGAAAAGCTCCACTGGAGCCGTCACAAAAGGAGGATGGTTGCCCTCTTAAAAGAGAGAAACCTCAGGGCCAATTCACCCCTAAGGGTAGGACAGGATGGGGGCTGCCCTAGGGATCTTACCCAGGTATCTCCAAGACCGCTGGCCCCAAAGGAAGGAGATATCAGAGCAGCTGGCCCCTGCCACATGCACGCAGGCCTATACAGAAAACAACAAAATATCCGTCACATTTCTGTGGTGGTCACATGCTCCTGTTAGGCCGAGGAAACACAAATAACTGAGGTATGCTGGGGGCAGGTGCCCTTTTATTTGGTGTATGTGATGTGTTTCCTGTTTCAGGTGGGAGGAGACTATCTCTCAGATGCTGTCCTGGAAGATTACTTGGGAAATCACAACATGAACACTGCACATGCGCAAACCAAAATCCATTCTGTCGATCTACGAAATTTGACCACTTAGTATTGCTAATGAATATAAATCTACATTGGTCTGTGCATGATGGGGAAGTCCTGTCGAAATTGAACGTGAGGGGGGTTCCATGACGGGGCGCAAGAAATCAAATGACAATCATAAGTTGTATGCTTAACAAAACTTTATTGCGCATCAAGCCACTGGAAAAAAAATAATATGTCCTTGATTTTTTTTGCCGGTTGGTTGAGAGTTCTGGTTGCTTGAATGCTGGATAATGAGGAGTTTACTTAGATTAATAAAGTGGATTTTCAGATTTTAGTGCATCAGCCGTGTTTGCCATTGTCATTTCAAGCCTGATGAAGGGGACCCTGTGTGCCCCCGAAACGTTGCTATTTGTTTTGACATAAAGTGTCAATAAACAGATGTGTTCTTCACTTCAATATGGTGTGCTGGTGACATCTTTAACAAGTTTCGGTATTGGCGGCGCCATCCGCGGTCACTTCGAGCACCCACGCTGACAGGGATACCCGGTGAGGAGTGCAGCAGGATTCTGGAATACATATGCAGCATTAGCAGATCACAGGCTGGTTTCTAGAAAGGTCATGTAAGGGTCCTAGAAAGGTCATGTAAGGGTCCTAGAAAGGTCATGTAAGGGTCCTAGAAAGGTCATGTAAGGGTCCTAGAAAGGTCATGTAAGGGAATATATAAGAGACCACAACCAGTAAAATGAGGAAGTGATGGTATCACATTTCTGAACACAGGAAAAAGATGCAGAAAACATTCAGCGTCTGTTATCTCTCTACTATAACTTAGGCCCTGACCAATCCCAGGAGCCAGGTCGCCAATGCTTCCTACAAATTACAGCCGGCGCCTATATTTTTCGGCCTCATTAAGGGCTTGTTCACACTATATATACAGTACATTCCAGTGCGGCTAGCTGCTGGAACGCACTGTGTCGCATACTGGCCGGCTTCTTGCGCTCTGGGGTGGGAGGGGGCGTAGCAGTGCATTGAAGTAAATGGCACCGCAACCACGCCCTCTGCCCGCAGTGCGATCGCCCGCACCAGAACGCAATGGGGGGATTTCCTAAGGCTGGAGCAACTGTGCATGACAACCAATCAGCTTCTAGCTTTAAAGGAGAATTATGAGGCGAGTGATTTTCACTCAGCCTCAAAATCTGAGCCGACCTGTGACAGTGAAACTGTCACAGGTCGGCTCAGTAGATCGGGAAGTGATCGAACACATACCGTCGCTCGCTTACTTCTCGATATATCTGTGCAGAGAGCCGTGACTGTCACTCACGGCTCCCTGCAGGGATTCCCCCCTCCCCGATCTGCCAGCGCTGTCTGGCGGAACGGACGGGGAAGGGCACAACAGGCTCTGCCTCTGGATAGGAATAGCCAGCTGTCCCTCACGCAGCTGGGTGGATCCAGACAGTATTGGTGGGGATCCGTTCCGGGTGCGGCGCCTCAGTATAGCGTGAGCTGAAGTTTGCGGTATACTGAGCTTTAGTGTGTGTCCCCCCGTGACCCTTAGGCCTTGTTCACACCAAATGCAGAGCAGATCTGGTCAGGTTTCTGCACACGCACACTAGTCTTTTAGATGTGTTTTTGGCTAAAAAAAATATATATATATTTTTTAAGTTTAATATGGCCTTTCAGTGCGTTCGAGGCATTTGCATGCGTTTTTGATGCGTTTGCAGATCCAGAGCAGGTAAAATAGGGCATGTGAACTAGAGCAAAAAATACCATTGGAATACATTGGACGCAGTTTTGATCCGATCTGCACCTGCTCTGCGCTTGGTGTGAACAAGGCCTTAGGAGAACTATGGGGAAAAGCCCAGACCCCATAGTTCTCCTTTAAGTTTCAAAGCTTAACTGAAGAAAGTAAAGACAGAAGCCGATTGGTCGCCATGCACAGCTGCTCCAGTTTAAATAAATTCCGCTGACTGTATCACAATTTTCCATGTCACCCCCAACACACTCACACGGAGTGAACAGGGCACATAGAGAACAATTGTTTCTTCGCCGTCTTTGCGTCAATCAGTGTGAAAATGCCGCCCTGGAACTCTGCCGCTTCCACTAGTTATCCATCACTGGAACAGCAGCAACTAAACAATGAAATGGTGCAAACCTAGGCAGGAGGGTTGTTTTGGAAGCTCAGATCTCTGCCATGACTTAAGTGGGTGAAAGGTTATCCAACAATAATAAAAGTCGGCCTGTGTGTAACATGACCGTGCTGAGAGTATGGCAGCAGGGAACAAAGGCCGGGAGGGGGGACTGTGACCAGAGATTGTGTGGTCTCTGGCAGGGGGATGGATGGAGACGTGACAATTAGTCACACACCCTCCCTGCCCCCTCTCGCTCTCTATCCCCTGTACGAGACGAGTGAGGAGGATGCTGGGGATGCTGCATCACTATGGGACTTCCCAGGCTTCTGCTCAGCCCCGGGATTGTGTACCACGCAGTGACTCCCGCTCTACCACGCCGCTTAGCAGCAGCTGATCACGCGCTGACTCGCCTCTGATTGGCTGACTCGCCACACACCTATGCCGCCCATTGGACGCCTCTCTCCCCGCCCACGGCTACGTTGTGTGAGCCTTAGTACTATCTGAATGGAGCAGCTGGGAGAGCTGAGGACAGCGGAGATTAGGCAGCCAGTGCGCACGGTACGGTCTGCAGCATCCAGAGACGAACGGGGAGCCATGCTCAGCTACAGCACGGTGAGTGATCAGTCATCATGGGGGACATTGCCCTAGCAATCAGGGTACTTGTAGTTCCTCCAATGGGGTTCTATGTATTCATCTGTAGGTGGTGGGTGACT